ATGTTTTCATCTATACTTCCAAAAAAAAGGCCAACATTCAATGAGGGAGCAATTTTAGAATGAACCATTGGCTTAAAAACTGGTGTTGACAAGAGAACTTTGGTTTCCTAGACCAGGGTTTGACATGAAGGGCTCTAGGCAAGGAATGGACACCATCTCACAAGAACTGGAAAGAATATATTTGGAAAATGACTGACTTATCAGAAAGGTTTTAAACTAAAATTGAGGGTGGAGAGTAACCAATCTTCATTCAAGCAAAAACCTTTAGATAGCTAATCATATAAGGAAGTAGAAAGTAAAGAGAAAGAAGAAAAACTCAGATACGAAATAGGAGACATAGGAAGCATAAGGTGAGCCACAAATAACTTAAATGCCTATACACTAACATTCAAAGTTTAGGAACAAACGGTGAACTTGAAATATTAATACGTAAGTGCAATTATTATATAATTGCCATTACAGAAACTATAGTGATGCACACAACACAGCATGAAAACCTAGAATGCATATGCATCAACATATAAAGAAAAAAGAATGACATTGCCATAGGTATATACTATCAACCAAGTAGAAGAAATTGATGAACTTTTTGCTAATCAGTTAACCAACGGATATAAGAAACCTACCACAATAGTAGTGGGGAACTTTAGCTACCCTTTCATCAATTGGGAGACCAACTTTCCAACAAATGGGAGATCAAACAGATTCCTGATCACCTAGCTGACAACTTCATAACCCAAAAAGTAGAGGTGGCAACTATACTGGACCTTATTTTTACCAATATAGAAGAAGTGATACAAGGGATTGAAATTGTAGGAACTTTTGGGGAGAGTGACCTGTCATTTTTCGAATTCAATATAAAACAGACACAACCAACAACATAATCAAATCCAATGTTTTAGGCTTTAAAAGCTGATTTTAACAAAGTCAGAGCTTTTGGGAAGGATCCTATGGATGAAAATCTTACATGGGCAAACAACTCAAGAAGCTTGGGAAATGCTGAAAAATACAATTATAAAAGGCCAGTCCAGTTCAATACCACTAAAAAAGATAAAGAAGAAGAAAACAGCATGATTGCACGAAGAACTCTCAAACCAACCAAGAGAAAAAAAGGACAAGTACAAAAAATGGAAAGAGGGACAAGTAACTAAGGTGAATATCAACAAATAATTCAAAACTGTAAAGATGAAGTTTGTAAAGCACAGTAAAACCTGCAACAAATGTCAAAAACAAAAATTTCAACACATTAAAAAAGTAAAAAAAACAATGGGTCCGCTAATGGGAGAAAATGACAAAGAGTAATGGACAATAGAGAGAACGCAGAACTGCTTAATTCATGTTTGCATCTGTCCATGCAAAAAGAAACCACTACTGAATTTACCCAAAATACAACCATAAATGAGAGGTTTTTTGTGCTGTCTGAACTTGTTTTCTTGCAGGTGTTTAATTACCCAAACTAGGTAACATCAGTACCAAAAAGGAATGCTGATTGATGTCCCTTTATATTCCAGTGACTTGCCTGTCAATGTTGGTGGGGGTGGTCTTAGAGGTTCTTTGATTGGGCTGTTTTCTTTTGGCTTTTTTGGCAGTTTCTTGATTGGCAGTTTACTTTATTGTTGGTCTGATGTTAACTGTTGACACCTTGGAGTTAATCTATCCTGATCTGGGTGCTGATTGCTGGTGGAGAAATGCTTGAGTCTTTTTGTTCCTTTTTGGCTGGATAATAGTCTATTTTGCATAGGCTATAGATGTTGTTAATGTCTATGTGTCCATTGATGGCTGATTTGTCAAGCATTCCCTGGTATTTTTGGACTTGGCTTGGTTCAGGATGGTCACATTTTCCCAATTGAAACTATAGTTAAATCTATCTATATGTTGTGAAATTAAAGAATTTTTATTGTATCTTCTGGTTGCTAGTTGGTGTTTGTGGATATGTTCTTTCAGTCTTCTGCCTGTTTGTCCTGTATAATAGTTGTTGCAGTCCTTACACTGTACCTTATAGATGACTCCTGGTTTTTTCCCCTCCTGGGATTGTTGGGTCTTTTGGTCTGCTTGCAGTGTTTTGAAGGGCTTTATTTGACTTGTTTGCTATGCTGATTCCATGTGGTTATAGTAGTCTGCTGGTGGTTTCTAAGATAATCTTGATGTATGGCAATGTAATTCTTTTCAGTGTTTGTGTTGGTTGTGCTGTATTGGGTCAAGTCGTCAGGGACTTTTTAATAAAGTTGCATGGATATCCATTTTGTTGGAAAGTATTGTAGAGATGCTCTATTTCCGTTTTCTGATGTTCTAGGTTGCTGCAGTATATGGGTAGTTTTTCTGTAGACTTGCATTTCTAGTTTGCCATTGTGGTCTCTGCTAATCAGGATGTCCAGGAAGGGTAGCGAGTTGTTGTTGTTGTTTTCTCTAATAAACTGGATTCCTTTTTAAAAGTTATTAATGGTTCTGTGGATGTTCTCCAATTAGTCCTTTTTTATAATGGTAAAGGTGTCATCTATATGTCTGATCTTTATTATTAAGTCAACAATAAAAATATTTTTATTATGTAATACTGAATCAAATATATATTTGTATATAATGCAACCCTTCCTAAAATTGCATATTTTCAAACTGCCTATATATTCATACCTTTTCTTTTCCAAAAGAATTGTAGCTTCTTAAATATATTGAAACAAGAAAAGCAACTAGTCCACAGATTTAGTTCAACTGGAGGCTTATTATAAAATATCATTTTAAATATTGTAAAATTTATTCTACAGTTTCACCATAGTCCCCCTTAGTAAAGTTTACATAACTAATTTTGAAGGTGTGAAAGATCCCACTGATTATTCAAGTTACTCTCTGATTTCCTATTAAATTTTCCTGCAAAAATAATTATAACAATGCTGGCATGTAAACTACAGCTGGTATTACCTTTGATTATTCATCCTGTGATTTTATCAAACTGATATTAGATTACTAATTAACACTCTAAATCAGATATGTTCAACCTTGCAGCTTTAAGACTCCCAGAATTCTTTACCCAGCATCAATTAATAATCTAATATCAGCCCTTGACATATTTAAAAAATCATAAATCAGTCCTTTTTGCAGGATGTGAAAAAGGATTTTGCTCTAATAGCCCTGGAAATTTCTGAAATTTTACTCAAAAATTTTCATCTTTTTATCAAATAGGTTAATGTGGTATTCTATTGGCTTCAATGGAATTATTATATCATACTTTCATGTGAAACTGATAAAGCATATCCCAAAGGTGCTTTATTTTTCAAAAGGCAACTGGACTTTGTTTTTTCTTAAAGTCGTTTTACGTCTCATCCAAGAAGTTTTTTCAGTTATGACTGAATAGTGGAGGAGGGAAGGATATAAATCCTTCATTGCAGTCATCTGGTCGTTAACAATCTTTTTGACAGTTGTTGAGATCACTTGGAGATTTGTTTTGTACTCCCAGGGACACCTGAATAGTGCAAATGGGTGTGAAACCTTGGAAATGCTGAAAGGACTGTGTTGTAAACTAGAAACAGGTGGTATCATATATTTCACACTCTGTTGAAAGAGGGCTATTCACTATTAACGTAGATGGCCTCTTTGACTCCTCTTTCAAACTAGTGTTTCTCTCTGTATGGAATATGGACTTTGCTGTCTTCAAAAGAATGACCTTTGTCTTTCAAATACAGATGCTATACTGGCTCTTATCCTGATGGGTTTGTTCTCCTATGTTGTGCCATACATTTATGAAGTGGTTGTTTTGTTTCTCCAATGTACAGATTTGTACACACTTCTATATATCACTGCACTATACTACATATATCACAATGCTCGGTTTGTGTTTGGGTGATTTATCCTTGGGGTGGGCAAGCTTCTGCCTTAGTATATTTTTGGGTGTAGAGCTTGTATGTATATTTGTATATTGTGTTGGTTGAAAATCCTCCTGACCGTTTCTGATATTTCTGCAGCATATGGAATGACATTGCTTCATTTGTTCTCTTTTTTGTCTATTATGAAGGACTTCCTGCTGAGTCTTTTTTGGATGTGATAAAGGCCCAGTTGGGATAGCCATATGTTCTGAGAACTTCCTCAACATGTTTTGGTTTTTTTTCTTTCCCATCTTTATTGGTAGACAGACTTTCAGCCTGGTGGTGTAGGATTCTGATCATTCCCATTTTGTACTCTACCTGGTGCTGAAAATCAAAATGTAGATATTGATCTCTGTGCATGGGTTTTCTGTAAACTTTGGTATTAAAGCTTCTGTCTTCCTTAACGTGTAATACACAATCCGGGAAGCAAAACTGTTTTCCTTAACATCTTCCACGGCGAACTTTATTGTATCTGCACACAGAATTGATGTGTTTGGTGAAGGCGTCCAATTCTTGTGTTTTAATCTTGATTCCAGCTACCTATACCTCCAGTGAGTGGATAGAATTCCTGTGAAGGAGTTAAAAGCTTTGGTTTCTATCTCTTCCATATAGAGATTGGCCACAATGGGGAACAAAATAAAGTATAAAAGAAATATAGAACCATATCCCACGATTATTTGATAACTAATATTTTAATTTTGTTTTTTAGAAAAGGAGTTTAGCCTAGAAGGCTTTATAGTACAGATTTCTGTCTGTAGTGGTTGTTTACAAAATGCCCTTTGGAAGCTTGTAATTCGGACATGAAGAACAGTGGCCATCTTTAGCTAGCATTCAGAGCTATATTGGCTCTGAAGCTGGGCATGCCATTTTTGTGGCTAACTGGAACTGAATTGTTTTATTTTCCATGTATGTTTAAATAACAAAGCAAGTGATTATGACAATATCTTGCAATGGGAGAAAGTTACAAATTATTTGAAATTACACCGTTTTGTTAATGATTGTACAGATTGGCTGAGTCACATATATGTGCGCATATGTGTGTATTCCTTGTGAATATGTGAAAATCACATTTTATGATTAAAATGTAGAGACTTTAAAATGATTCCAAAATGTTTCCAAATCTAAAGCATTCCTGTTGAATTTCAGCTTGCTTTGATATCCCAGAGAATTAACAGAAAATGCAAAACAGTGAAGTAATAAAGCCTGCCAAATACTTTTCTGAAGTGGAGAAGAGTGTGCTGCTGGCATTAGTTGAGAAATATAAGTATGTACTTGAGTGTAAAAAGAGTGATGCAAGGACTATTGCATTGAAACAACGGACCTGGCAGGCCCTCGCTCATGAATATAATTCCCAACCAAATGTATCACTCCGAGATTTCAAGCAGTTGAAAAAATGCTGGGAGAACATCAAGGCTCGGACAAAGAAAATAATGGCACATGAAAGACGAGATAAGGTAAAAAGATGCATTAGTCCACTTATAAGTAATCACGTCCTAGGAAAAGAGAAGATCACCAACATGATACCAGACCAAGTATATTTTTTACAGACTCCACCAGAAGAAGATTCTGAATATCAGCCTGAAACTTCTAATCAAGGTACAGTTATAATCTAGTGAACTTATTTATTTATTTATTTATTTATTTATTTGATTTGCCAATTGTTTACAAGATAATAAGTATAAGTGTATACATAGTTGTGAATACATGAAATGGGTACATATAAGAAAAATAAAAGAATAAGAGAAACAATAGGACAGGGACGGTAGGCACGTTAGATAGGATATTTGCACTGCACTTATCCACTGGTATCTATATAATAACATCAGTTTCAAAGTGTAAGCAAATCACATGTACAATTCACTGTATGATTAGTGAGACATAACTTACTGCTCGTAGCTGCAGTAACAAATATCGATCCTGAATTGTGTCTTAGCTATAGAACCACCACCATGTTTTTATCTCAAAGTAAAAGAGAGAGAAAATCTTTTACAGTGGAATCCTTCCTGAACATAGAGATAGGAATACTAAAAACTGCAGGGGGCAGAGTGCAATTTATGGTTTATTATGGCTGGAAACGTAGCGGACACATGGATGAGACTAGGATTAATTAAGCTTTCCTAATGGAAAGGGGGATTTGGGATTTGTATTTTAAGTATACCAAGCTCTTTTAGGGTTTATATTATATTTCTGGCAAGTCTTTTGGAGTTGGGCAGGATAACCTCTAATTTCTTACTAATTTTCTAAAATTTTGGTTTTAAAAATTTAACTTCCTTTTGATGTCATAAATTCCCAATTAGTTAGATTTTTAAATTATTAATAATAATTTTCAGTACAAAGGGTATTATTTTAAATATGACTATGTACAAATTTGTATAATGTTTTATTTTTTTTAATTAAGATTTATTTATTTATTTATTTATTTATTTATTTATTAAGTTAGAAAAGCCTTTTTTCCCAATAATGCAGCTTTGAAAATCACACTGATCATTTAATGTAAATGCATCTTACAAAGAGTTGAAATATGTTTAATGTTTAATTATCTGAAGTGGAACATCTTTGGATGGGTAGTTTTTGCCCTTGTCATAAATAGAAAAGAGTACTTACCTATATAGATCTACAAATAAAAAGACAAGCTAGGACAGATTTCCTGTACCTTCCTCTTGCAGTCCATTAAGTTCAAAGTGCCTAGGATGGATAATATTACAAAACTGACAACTTATTGAATTCGGACATAAGCTTCAATTTGTGAATATTTCCTATTTCAATAAACTAGATGAATTTCAGCCTTATTCCCAAGCTCGGAACTGAGGTAAAGTAGGAAATATTTATGCAATGTACCAGAAGTGAAACATTTTCAGAAGTGAAAATTATATAGATATACATATATCACAACAATCTTTCTTTCCAATTACCTTTAGCTTTTTGGGTGCCCACCCTAAAATACGTTTGTAATTTCATATTGTCCTGGTACAGACAATTTTGCTATTCATGGAAGATTGCAGAAATATTTTAGTTACGCAGTGTCATTTTATTTTTAACATTGAATGCTTAACCTCCCTATAAAATGCTTTTTCTTTATAACAAATCACTTTATGAAATAGTTCGGCTGTTTGTGGTTCGCCAAGGGCATTCAGTAAATATCTAATAGAAACGGAAATCCAGGTACATTCCAGATACATTCTTTCCACAAGGTGGATTAGATCTTATAATAGGGGAATTTTTATTTTTTTAAAAATACAGTTTTTAACCGTTTCTTGTATTTTCCCAGAATCTTTCAGTGTTATTAACAAAGAATCATGTGATGAAGAGAAAGGACTTGTACATTTCCAGGTATGTGAAGGTACCTCACAATCTGAGCCTTCCTGTTCAGCAGTCAGAGTAACTGGAAATAAAAATTTCAGAAATAAAGCTGCTCAAGAAAGTGATTTGAAAAAGATGCATGAAGAGGAGCACCATCAGCAAATGTCTATTTTACAGCTGCAACTGATCCAAATGAATGAAGTGCATGTAGCAAAAATTCAACAGATAGAAAGGGAATGTGAAATGGCTGAAGAAGAACACAGGATCAAGATGGAAGTGCTAAATAAAAAAAAAATGTACTGGGAAAGGAAACTTCAGACAGTTACAAAAGAATGGCCTGTTTCATCTTTTAACAGACCATTCCCTAATTCACCCTAGTACATGCAGCTGCTGCTGGTTCATTAGACTGAAGTAACTTGGTCATCAGAAAATAGTTTGAGAATTAGGTTCAATTCCTGTATTTAGAATGACAATGTAATTGTTGGCTATGAACAAATGTCAAGGAATACCTAAAATAGGGTTTAGGTAGGTTTTCATTTAATAAAACAACAAAGAAATCTCCATATTTTTGACTTTATAATGGAATTTCCAAGTATGCCCAATAAACCACTCTTTTCCATGGTAGCCAACTCAATCCAATTGGATATTTTATGTTATTTTATTTTTGTAGCTGAATTTTTCAATTAATTATTTAATGATGAATGTATATTACGGTACAGTTATTAAGACTTGAAGAGTGATTCAGTTGAATTATCAAGCAAGGTAAAAAGGGTGATAATATAGCAATTGCTGTACAAGAAAAGGAATTCAGATTTCCAAAGCTGTCTGATTGGCTGTCTGTTCAGTCATAGTTATAATTGTGGAATAGTAGAAATATGTGTTCCCCCCTTTCACTTCTTTTCTGATAGATCATCTAGTCTGTTGCCCTTGATTTGCACTGTATGGCACAATCAGCCCACTAGCTGGTAAAACTCACACTGGCATCTGGCCTGCAGTAAAAAGAAATAGCCCACTTCTATTTGCATCTAGTCCTATGAATGTTTTATCCAAAGTAAATGCTTATAGAGTTTGCAATTTATTAATTTTATGCAAGTACTGCTTGTGAATGTTTGTGGCTTCCTGCTACTATGTATACACATACTGGACATAATTTTAGAGGTACAAAATGCTTGAAGCAGCCCTTGTAGAACTTTTACCTTTGAACAGATTATTAAGAGCTGAAGGAAACAAATACAATATGAAATAGAAAGATAGATATTTTATCTTTAAAATAGCTACCCTGTTTCTCCAACAATACAGCCTCCCCCAATAGGAAGTCCCAGCATGTTTTATAAGCATGAAATGAAATTAAGCCCCTCCCCCCAAATTAAGGCCTATATTAAAACATGCCAAATGGGGGGAATGGTGGGGGGGCTTGCCATTAGGAAGTACTTTTGTTGCACACCTGGATATGGTGCTGCCTGCGTTGACCCCGATACGAAGTGCCCCACCAACGCCGAGGTCAACATCCAAGCCGTCGCCGCCCGCCCACCCAAAGATGCAAGGGGGGGGGAATTAAGTCACCCCCGAAAAGACGGCCTAGCCATTTTTTCAGGGCTCAAAAAAAAATAAGACCCGGCCTTATTATATGAGAAACACGGTAGTAGCCTGGAATACCCACAATTCGTATGTAGCATTATTATTTCAGACTAATCAGCAGAGATGGTAGGGACTAGTATTTTTTCAAAGTAGGAATTTTGTTGTGTTCATTAATGGGTTTCCAACAAATCTGAAATGTTTTTCTTTTGGAGATTTCTAGAAATTTTTTTTTTCACTCACTCCATGCATTTCTGCTGGTCATTGGCTTTAAGCTTATTAAGAACATTACAAAATCTTTTAATATCTGAATTATAGGCTAAAACTTTTATTCATAGAAAGCTACCAGTAAAACAAAAAAGGCACAGCTTATTTCCGAAAGAAATACAATCACCCTAACATATTTTAATTACTTATTCTGTTCTCCTTTTGGGTAATTCTGTATTTACAAAAGGACACTAATTTCTTATCCAGGTTTAAAGGTGAGATTGTAATGAATGTTGTGAACAATCTGAATCCAGAATTTAAACATTTGCTTGTTGACTAGCCTGTGTGTTGAATTTAGTTAAAGCAGCGGAGGAGTCTCATCCTTTGTAGAACAGAATGGGCAAAACCAAAATATTAAAAAATTGTATTTTTTGGTTTTGGCTTAGACTAAGAACCCAAGTTTTTAAAGCAACTAAATTCATTTCAATACAAATCTATTATCAAAAAAATCAGTGCAAACTATAATTCAAATTTTGCACTAAGTAAATTAAATTTTGTATTAAATTATATATATAGTATGAATGTACTATATATTTCCATAGCATACATTTATTTTTTTCTAATCATTGGACATTATGCGATCAATAGCAGAAAATTCTGGATCAGAGATTTCACTATGCATTCAACACATACATTGAAGTTTTATTTGAAGTTATATTTACAGCTTCAGTGACTATTGGCTTATGTTTTGGATTTGTTACTTATTTGTTACTTTCCTTGAGTATACAACATACTAAGACCTAATTATTACTTCTGGTATTATAAAGAAGAAAAAATTAATTTTTATACATTCTAACTTTACATTTACCTATAAAAAAGCAAGTTAAAAGTTAATGACATCATAATTTTACACAACAAATGAGTGTCATTTAATTATATATTTCCAAATAATTTTTCCAGTCAGTTTAGTAGCATTTTTCATTGGCTTAATTTGATAAAACATTAATCATGTATTTGAATTTTAGTTTGTTCCAATAAATAAACTTGTCTTTATTTTTAATAGTTGAATATTGGGGGAAAGTCTTTTCCAAGCTATCTATACACTGTTCTTATTGAATGGGATTATGATTGGGGGGCGGTTATGTTACTATTTTTAAATAAACCAAACTAAATAAAAACAAGGGAATTATTTTTAAAAAAACCAAATAAATGGGAAAAGACCCAAAGAATAAATATTAAGACATGGCTGAAAATGAAAGAGAAAGTAAGGCATGCAATTATCTAATTCTATCATATCTGGAACTAATATGATAAAAACAACAGCCAAAGAGATATCATTAAGCACACTCAGGGGGATGAGCAAATTGGGACTTTTCAAAGGTCATGCTTATTTAATACAAGGAATGAAATATAATTTTAAATTTTGATTTTTGAGTGAGTCTTGTTGAAGTTAACAATTTTTGTGTGATTCTGTTGGAAATATGCTAAATATCTTAGCATAATGGCTAAATATCTGGCTCAATTTGTTCTATTCAATTTCATTTATAAAGGTAAAGTTGTATGGATATTTGTTTAATAACTATGTTTAACAGTTTTTAAACTTCTAAGAGGTCTCTTTGCACTACTGATATTTAATCTGTATAGATGTTCTGAGTCATAGTTTCAGTTCAACCCTCAGCATATTTCAGAACAGGCTAACATTTTAGAGGAGTTGCATCTCAGACTGCATAAGTTGTGAACTACCAAGCAAAATGCAGTGACTAGCACTCTTGAAGTGGGTTTGGCTTAATAGGTCACCAGTTGTTCAGATCTTTGTTCATTTTACATTCAATTTCTAGTGAATTAATCATAATATGTGGCACATGGTTCTCATTATGCTATGTCTTGATTTCTGTCACTAGCTGTCATTAAAGTTTATAAATATCAAATATTAGCATGGGCAAAGAGAACCTTGAAGTCGCAATATTGTGAAGATTAGACATCTAAATAATAATTTGTTGAATATCTGTTTCTTCTACCATATTCAACAAGTTCTGGTTGTGTAAGTTAATGGCTGGTGGCACTTACCATGCTAGTTTAAAATGTGGTTTGTTCAGTTTGGTGTAGCCATTGGCTTATACATCAGTATTTATGGTTTAGCATTATGTATGATATAACATTTAACCAAGACATTTGTGTGGCTTCAATATTGGTGCAAATAGGACAGCTCCATCATTTCCTGGTACTGGGAAAAAAAAACCTAACTGGCTTGGATCAAATCCTCCTAACTTTCATTGATCTATCCATTTGACAAATGCATATTACAGAGCCTTTTTGAAATCTCTTCAAATTGTAAGAAGCTATCTGAAATATCTCAAATAAGTACCTTTCAAAATTAGTACCAAAGCTGTTCCTGCTTTTTACAGAATTATTTTCAAAAGTGCATAATGGAAAATATGGAAAATTGCTATTATGCCCAAATAAGGACTGTTGCCCAGTCTGGTCTCTAGAACCAGAACCTTATGCTTTATATATAAATATTTAAGGAATAAGGGGAACCTTGTTATGCATCTTGGTTTCATAACATTTTTGATGAAGGATTTGTTCAGTAATATTTATTTTTTCATCAAAAGAAGAGACTCCAAAAAATCCATAATGAAAATTAATAGTAGGTGTACATTTTAGTGCCTTGTCTATTGTATAATGTGTAATCAAATGATGGATTTCTTATTAAAATGTATCTAAATATTGCTAGTAGAAAAATTCCATATGCCTATACTTGCTTCCAATAAATCATGATTTATTAATCTTGAATTTTTCTTTTAGTGTAAAATCATAGGTTGCTTGGTATTCACTGTAAAGAGTAATAGTTCTAAGTATATCGAGAAAAGAAAAAATATGGCATGTTGATTACAATTAAGCAAAATATGAGAAAATAATTTAAAGAAGGCATCAGCAATCAGCATGCTCTGTAAATGCTAACTAATATAAAGTAGTGACTTTAGAACAATAGTGATGGGAAAAGTTTTAATTATATAGACCAGGAGTGTCAAACTTGTGGGGTCACATTGTCATTGTCATCATGTGACGTATCATGACTTTCCCCTTCGCTAAACCAGGGGTGGGCAGAGCCAGTATGTGATGCATCCAACCTGTGGGTTGTGAGTTTGACAGCTGTGATATGGACAATGATTGAGTCCAAAATACTCCCTAAAATTCCCTAATTCCAAAATTCTCCCTAATGAAAACAAAACTTTCACTAATGTTCGTATACACATTAATGTACAATTAATTGAACCACTACTTGCCTAAAGTTCACAACACATGGAAACAAAAATTAACTACATAGTTAGATAAAGATACTGATTCAGACTTGTGGGAAAGTATCTTGGAATAGTTACTCAACATATACTTATAGTAGCAAAATTTCACAGCTTAACTAAGTACAGATAGTCCTTGACTTACAGTTCATTTATTAACCGTTCAAACTTTTCATACTTTTCATTTGAATCATACTGTATTTTTCTCCCAGCACAAAAAGGCAGTGAATTGATATTTTCTAATCCAAAATCTTCAGTTAGATTGGATTCTTAAAAGTTGTTACACTTTTCTAGCAGGGTAGCAGATTGGATCTACAGAGTTCTGATGGTTATAGCCTCTTTTTTCTGCCATGATTTTTGCCCCAGCCCCTTGTCTTCATCACTTATAACATCTGCCCAATAAGCTTAACATGATTTCAGGAAATAAATGCTGATTAAGTTTGTCAACACTTGTAAACACCTCTTGCTGATAGTAAAGATATATCTCTTTGAAATAATTCCTTTCTATATTGGATTTCTAAATTGGATCTTTTTAGAAATAGGACTTTGAGTCCTATTAGAATTAATTTAAACTTATTTCACCCAAATTTTCACACAAATGGTTTGATTTGCAGATGCCACTTGTGTCCCAGTTCTTTATTGTGCAGTTGTTCTGCAAAAATACAAACTTCTCCAAGATCCAATATTTTATTTGCATTTATTTTCATTCCAATTATGTCTTAATTTTTTCCACATTACATTGAGTAGAACTTAAAATGTGGAGGGGAGGAGGGATGGCTACAAAATGGAAACTAATCAAGGAGAGAAGCAATCTAGAACTAAGGAAAAATTTCCTGACAGAACAATTAATCAGTGGAACAACTTGCCTCCAGAAGTTACGTGTTGTGATACTCCAACACTGACAGATTTTAAGAAAAGATTGGGCAACCACTTGTCTGAAATATGGTATATGGTTTCCTGCCTGAGCAGAGAGTTTGATTAGAAGACCTCCAAGGTTCCTTCCAACTATTCTGTTATTCTATTCTGTTAAATACTATAGTTTAACAGCAATGAGTCAAAGAGCTATATAATTTTTATTCTATATAAATGTATTTGTTAACTGCAACTGGGTTTTGGCAAAGGAATTTACCATTTGCTTTTAAATTATTGCATTAAATTATGAGCCTCAGTGAGATAAACTCTAATTTGAAT